CCCCCCGTGGGGCCCAATGGGGGGCCCCCATGGGGGGCCCCCATGGGCAACCCTGGGGGGGCCCCCTGGCTGCTGATGCCCAGCCTGCGATTGTGGTGCTGCTGCAGTCTCTTTTGCTGCTCCTGGTAGCGGCGAAGGGCCTCTTGTTTGTCTGCTGCTGCTGCTGCTGCTGCTGGCGCTGCTGCTGCTGCTGCTGCTGCTGCAGCAGGCGGGGAGCCGGGGGCCGCGTGGATTTGCATCGGCAGCAGCAACTCTGGGCTGTATGTACACCTGAAAAACAACGAAACTGCTGCTGCCTGCTGCTGCTGCAGCAGCAAGTTCGCCCGTTGCTGCTGCTGCTGCGGCTGCCGTTGCTGCTGCTGCCGCAGATCTAGCTGCTGCTCCTGCTGCTGCTGCCCTACAAACTCAACTATTTTATATAACTAAATGCTTTGCTGCCTTTTCCCTTTTCCTCAACAGTACTGCAGCAGAGTTCAGTTTGGGGCTGCATGCCGAGCCGGGCTTCCAGAGGAAACCCTAAACCCTAAACCCTATACCCTAAACCCTAGACCCCAAACCCTAAACCCTAAACCCTAAGCTTCAAACCCTAAAATTTAATCATTAAACTGTCCGCCATGTAGGACTTTGTGTGAATTGTTTCTTGCCTACTGGTGAGGCAAAGGAAGATCGAGCTCTAGAGCTCAAACCCCAAACTCTAAACCCTAAACCCTAAACCCTGAACCGTTGGGTGTGGGGCCGAGGCTAGGGGTGCTGCTGCTGCGCTGATGTCGAACTGGGAGCAAAACCTTCCCCTGCGGCAGCAGGCGCAGCAGGGGCAGCAGCAGCAGCAGCAGCAGCACCTGCTGCAGCAGCAGCAGCTGCTGCAACAGCAGCAACTGCTGCAGCAGCAGCAGCGGCAGAATGCGCAACCTAGCGGCAAGCGGCAGCAGCAGCAGCAGCAGCAGCAGAGCAACTCCGAGGAAGACGACGGGTCCTCCCTTAGCGGCAGCAGCAGCAGCAGCGAAGATGAGGCGCAGCGGCTGCACCGGCCAGCAGCAGCAGCAGCAGCCACAGCAGCAGCAGCAGCAGCAGCAGCGCAGCTGCCGCAGCAGCAGCAGCAGCAGCAGCAGCATTTGGGCGCACCCTCTGCTGCAGCACTGCCGCCCCAGACGCCC